GTTGATTGTGGATCCAAAAAAAAAAAAAATGAAATCCTTGACAACTTCAGTCTTTTCTCCGTTTATCATGATGTTGCTTATTGGCCCGGTTGTGAGGATTTTTGTTTCCTTTGTGTTGAGGTACAAACCATACTGAAGGCTGTGGTATTTGATTTTCATCGGTAAGTGCTTCAAGTCCTCTTAGCTTTCGACAAGCAAGGTTGTGTCATCTGCATATTGCAGGTTGGTAATGAGTCTTCCTCCAATCCTGATGCTGTGTTCTTCTTCATATAGTCCAACTTCTTGGAATATTTGTTCAGCATACAAATTGAATAAGTATGGTGAAAGGATACAGCCCTGATGCACACCCTTCCTGATTTTAAACCATGCAGTATTCCCTTGTTCTGTTTGAACAAGTGCCTCTTGGTCTATGTACAGATTCCTCACGAGCCCAATTGAGTGTTCTGAAATTTTCATTCTTCACAGTGTTATCCATAATTTGTTATGATCCACACAGTGGAATACCTTTGCATAGTCAGTAAAGCACAGGTAACCATCTCTGGTATTCTCTGCTTTCAGCCAGGATCCATCTGACATGAGCAGTGATATCCCTCATTCCATGTCCTCTTCTGAATTCAGCTAGAATTTCTGGAAGTTCTCTGTCAATATACTCCTGCAGCCACTTTTGAATGATCTTCAGTAGTTTTACTAGCGTGTGATATTAATGATATTGTTCAATGATTTCCACATTCTGTTGGATCACCTTTCTTTGGAATGACACAAACAATGGATTTCTTCAATTTGGTTGTTCAGGTAGCTGTCTTCCAAATTTCTTGGCGTAGACAAATGAGCACCTCCAGTGCTGCATCCATTTGTTAAAACATTTAGTTGGTATTCCGTCAATTCCTGGAGCCTTGTTTTTCACCAGTGCCTTCAGTGCAGCTTGGACTTCTTCCTTCAGTACTATCGGTTCTTGATCATATGCTACCTCTTGAAATGTTTGTGTTGACTGATTCTTTTTGGTACATCATTTTATTTTGCTGTTTCCTGAGTTGTTCAGTATTTTGCGCATAGAATCTTTCAGTATTGCAACTTGAGGCTTAAATTTTTTCTTCAGTTCTTTCAGCTTGAAAAATGCTGGATGTGTTCTTCCCATTTGGTTTTCTAACTCCAGCTCTTTGCACTTGTCATTATAACACTTTGTCTTCTCAAGCTGTCCTTTGAAATCTTCTGTTCACCTCTTTTACTTCATTCATCATTTCTTCCATTCGCTTTAGCTCCTCTACATCAAGAATTAAGTTTCAGAGTCTCTTATGACATCCATTTTGGTCTTTTCTTTCTTTCTTGTCTTCTTCATGACGTTTTGCTTTCTTCATGTATCATGTCCTTGATGTCATCGCACAAGTCGTCTGGTCTTCAGTCAGTAATGTTGAATGTGCAAAATCTATTCTTGAGATGATCTCTACATTCAGGTGGGTTATACTCAAGGTTGTATTTTGACTCTTGTGGACTTGTTTTGATTTTCTTCAGCTTCAACTTCATCTTGGCTTATGAGCAATTGACGTTCTGTTCCACAGTAGGCCCCTGGCCTTGTTCTGGCTGATATTGAGCTTCTCCATCATCTTTTTCCGCAGGTGTAGTTGATTTGATTCCTGTTGTCTGGCGAGGTCCACGTGTATAGTTGCTATTTATGTTGTTGAAAAAAGTTATTTGCAGTGAAGAAGTCCATAGTCTTGCAAAATTCTTATCATGAGACATCTGGGTCATTTCTGTCACCAAGGCCATTGTTTTCCAACTGTCGATCCTTTGTCTTTGTTTCCAACTTTTGCATTCCAATCACCAGTAATTAACAGTGCATTTTGATTGCATATTTAATCAATTTCAGACTGCCGAAGTTGGTGAAAATATTCATTGTCTTCATCTTTGGCATTAGTGGATTAGTAGTTGGTGCATAAATTTGAGTAATAGTCATATTAGCTGGCTTCCTTGTAGGTGTACGAATATTATCTTACGACTGAAAGCATTGTACTTCAGGATAGATCTTGAAATGTTCTTTTTGACCATGAATGCAACGCCAGTCCTCTTCGATTTGTCACTCCCGGCATAGTAGATCATATTATTGTCAGATTCAAAATGGCCAATACCAGCCCATTTCAGCTCAGTAATGCCTAGGATATTGATCTCTATGTGTTCCATTTCATTTTTGACAACTTCTAATTTTCCTAGATTTCATACTTCGTGCATTCCACGTTTTGATTATTAATGGATGTTTACAGCTGTTTCTTCTCATTTTGAGTCCTGTCACATCAGCAAATGAAGGTCCAGAAAGCTTTACCTCTCCCATGTCATTAAGGTTAACTCTACTTTGAGGCAGCAGCAATTCCCTAGTCATATTTGAGCACCTTCCATCCTGAGGGACTCATCTGCCAGCACTATAACAGACCATGTTCTGCCTCTATTCATGAGATTTTCACTGGCCAGTTCGTGCAGAAGTAGACCACCAGGTCCCTCTTTCTAGTCTGTCTTAGTCTAGAAGCTCTGCTGAAACCCGTCCACCATGGGTGACCCTGCTGGTATTTGAAATACTGTTGACATAGCTTCCAGCATCACAGCAACACCCAAGCCACCACAGCGGGACAAACTGACAGGCGAGTGTTGTGCACTGCACCTTAGGTTACTTAAATCAGAATTTCTGATTGATGGGCCACAGTCACTGGTAATTTTTTAAAACTCTGCCAGTGATTGTAATGGGCAGCCAGGATTGAAATCCTTGTTATAGAACCTGCATTTGAGGTTTTCAGCCTGGCAAATGTAAATATTCACAAGTTGGATGTACAATGTTTTGGCTTTTTGTGACTTTTTGAAAATTATAAGTACTATTAGAAGGTGAATTTAGTACTATACAAAATTCACCAGGTCCCCACTGAAATTGTTTTGAATGTGGTGGAATTTTAGGACTGGATTGGAATCCTTAACCGTGTGACTTACAGCAAGTATCTTAACCCTGTAACCTGTTTGTCTATAAAATAATGATAATATATGAAGTACCTCCCTATTAAAACTGCTTGGCACCAAGATACAGTCAAACATCTTTTCCATTTCTTTCCCTACACCTAGATTTGTTGAGTATTGTCATCTCAGTTAGACATTAAAACATTTTCTGATAGTGCATAGAAAACTGTAGATCATTCTGTAGCTCATGGCATATTTTAATTGATTCTAAGTTACTTGCTCCGTTTTATATTCTAATAACTTTGAAAATGCTTGAAGCTTAACAATCAGAATATGCTTTCTTTTTTGTTGCCAGGTCATTATGTACGGGAGAGGTAGAGGAGTAGCAGGTCAGATGGGTAGAGGACGCCTCATGCCAAATAAACAGAATCTACGCGTGGTGGAGTGCAAGCCTCAGCCTTGTGTCGTGTCGGTGGAAGGGCTGTCTTCATCAACTACTGATGTCCAGCTGAAAAACCTGCTCATGTCTGTAGGACCCATTCAGGTAGGTCACCTTGGGCTTCTGTCTAGGTCCAAGTTTGTCAGACCCCAGAACTAAATAACTCTGTGATTTAAGATGCTGTGCTCTTTGTGTTGGTTATTTCATAAACAAATAATACACCTGAAAAGAAAGATATATTTAATCTACTATGCACACTTGATATTGGAACTTCTGCCTCAGAGTTTTATTATGATGGAATTTCCAGATGCTCAGTTATAAATTTAAGAAATATTAATAATCTAGATGAACCAATTAGCCTTTGAAACCCTCACAGTAACTTGCACATGTACACACAGATATTTTCTTCTGTCAAATTGACTTATTTTGTTTGTAATAATTTTTTAAATTCTGAAGTATTTAGCCTTCTTATCCTTAATTTCCAGAAATATCCTCACATGTTAACAGCTGTGCAGCTTGGTTTAGATTTTAGAAGTATGGCAGTAACTTGGACTGTATTTTGGTCTCTTAAGTTTAAAACTGGCTGTTATTCTTGCTTAAAAATCTGCTGAGCTGGCTACAAATGGTCTGCAGTTGTGTTGTAAACGAAATTTTTCCCTAAAGTCCCTGATCTTCACAGTTTTGAGAGCTCTCTTGATGAGTCAGTGAAGAAACGGGTTGACCTGGTTTTCCTTTAGCAGGTATCTCTAGCCTCATTTCTGGCCTGTCCTGCCAGGTGTCACCACCACTGCCAGTCAGCGCCCTGACCCCTGCACCCAACAGCCCACATTCCACATTAGTGTCTGCGGGTCAGGGTAGCGGGAGTTTAGAAATGTGACTAACGCAAATGTTAGGACATGGAGAGTCGATGTTAGGTTTCTGACCAGTACACAGTGCCTTCTTTTCAGAATAGGTCATAGCCTCTTGCTTCAGGAGTAGATTTGGAAGCATTTTCAGACTAGGGTAGATATGAGTAATTAGTTTAGAATGTATTTCAGTTCTCCGTCTACTGTTGAGATTTCCTAAGGTGAGGAGTAGGTGAAACCCAGTCAGAAAACTGTCTTTGTTATTTAGGTTTAATTAGTGCCAGCCTAATTTTTTGATTCCTAGAGAAGAGTTATGTTTGGTTTTTATTAATTATGTTAACATATTATAGTTTAGTTTCTGTAGTAATGAAAAATTAACCAAAAATCTTTGCTTCTATTTTTAATAGATTTTCTGGTGGCCCAGTTAGGATCAGCTTTTCGGTTATCATAGACATAAAGCTTATTACACTCAAGAATAGGTTGTTTGTAGACAATTCATAACAAAACATTAATTTGCAGGAACAGAACTGACAATAGAGAATATTAAGTGCATTAAAATGTGGTTATTCTGCTCTGAGACTCTAAGAACAAATGGCGATTAGGATTCTGAGTCAGATAACGGTTTAGCGGTGAATCCAGCCTTTGAAAAAACCAGAGCCTAGTCTGTTCTGAACCACAGACCAGTGTTGTCTGTTGAGGAGCTCATTTTTATAATACGATTAGAGCTTATTCCTTCTCAATGTTTCTGTTGTCTGTTGGGCTTTCTGTACTTCCCTATTGGGGCATAAAATGATGTGACTATTGCTTTCCATTTGTCACCTGCTAATTTTATGGGCTTTGCTTCAGCATCTGTAGTCTTGACCACTGAATAATCTTATCAAGATCCATGTTTGAGTGGTAAGTGCTGTTCGCTTCTGACATGCATTAAGTGAGTTTTAGTGGCTACATTGTGAAAATTAACTTGGAGCCATTGTGAGGCCACCTGACCTTGGTCTTACCCGTTTTCTAAATCGAATTTTGTATTTTCGGGCTATCGATCTCTGAATGGCCATTTCCTCTTAAGTTGTGGTTTTTGTTTTTGTTTTTGTTTTTGTTTTTTTCCCGTACTGAAAAGAATTAGAAATCTTTGTGTTATCTAATTTCATTGGGGCCACTTATAAACCTAACAGAAACAGTGTTGGAATGGTTTAATGACTTGTTTTAATTAGAAAGAAAGAGAAAGATATGAGAAAGTTTTCTAGGTTACATGAGTTACCCTTAAAATAAAGTAAAAGGTGAGCGCCCGTATGCCACTGTAGGAATCCCTAAGGAGTGATGGGTTCAGTGCTTGTTCACGGGCCTGTTCTTTCTGCCTGGTGAACAAAATGTTGTGCTCTCATTTCCTGCCAGCCTTAGGTCCATGGGATTGTTTTAAATCGTAGTTTATAGATTTGGTAACACTGTAATCACAAAATACTATGTTTCATAATTTAAAAAAGCAAGCACCCTGATATTACAAGCTTCTGCCAGCATTAGATAGCTAAAGCAATGATACTGCTGAGTATAGATGTTAAAGGGACTGACCTCAGTGACCCAAGACATCCTGCCTTCCTGGACTGAGAAGGAAAACTATTTGCACAGTAGTTCAAGTCTCTGAATACTTTGGGTTATGGCACTACCTAGTGTTCACGTAGTGTAATGGCAAGTTGTGGTGTTATCTAGACTAGGAAGGACCTTGGGACATTTAATTATAGAAAATGGCAATAACTGCATTTTAACTATATTTTTATAACGTATGGAATCTGAGAACTTTTCTCAGTGTATCAGTAGAGTGGAACGTGCTAGCCAGTGTTGCTTTCAGATCAGTATTTCACTTTCTTAAATGACATTCATAAGTCTCACTAGAAAATTCATTTTAAAGACATCTGTTTATAGAGTCATTGTTGACAGAGTAAGGAAGAATAACAAGATGTTTTAGAAATATCATAGCCAGAAGATAAAGATGGCATAAGTATTGTAGTGTGTTTCAGAGTTTCAGATGGGGGAAGTTGCAGTAAGAATGAAAACCACATGATACTGACTAACATGCATACTAAACGAGTCAGGAAGAAGATTCTACCCAGGATCTGGAGATACCGAAAGAGGAATATGAGGCTCTGGGGATGCCCCTTATTGCCGAGAAAGGAGTAGGCAAAGGAAAGCTCGGTGGCACCTGCAGGTGTCCAGATTGGCGTTAGGACGCCACGCTCTGTGAGGCTGACGAGGAAGCTGTCCCAGGCCTCTCTGTAACCTTGGTGTGCGTTCTGTTAGTGGCTGCCTCGGGGCCAGCTGACAACTTCCTGCTCCATCCTGAAGAATGACACCCAGTTAACATTTGGGATTAGGAAGTAAGTTTATTGCAATTTTTGAGTCCTCTTTTGTTTAATTACTTTTATTTCCCTACTTGCTGGGGTTTGCCTAAAATTGTTTTAAAAAAAAAAAATACGTTTTTTTAACTTACATTAGATTCTACTTCATGATGAAAAACAAAAAGATAGTTTTTCTCACAAGAGCATAAAGTTTGCAGTCAGTGAGTGTGCGTGCGTATGTGTGTATATATATACACGTGTGTATATGTATGTATGTATATATATACACGTGTGTATATGTATGTATGTATATATAGCTGTTTCCCTGTTTTGATAGTCACTGAAAGGATAGCATTGGGTACTAGCAGTAATCTTAATACTGATACCAGCCACTACTCCGCCCACTTTTTCTATGTTAACTTGTTTGTATCTCCCAACAGTGCTATGAGGTGGTCACTAAGCTGAAATGCAGAGTAGAATGGTCACATGGTGGGTGGGTGCTGGCTAGTGCAGTTGTTGCTGCTTTATTAACCCTCCAGAAAGCAGCAAGAATATGGGCTTTGCTAGGAGATTGGTTTAAATCTGGATTTTGCCATTTATTACTATGCAACTTTTGGACAAAATACTTAACCTTTGTGAGCCTAAGCTTTCCCAGTTGTTAAAATTGAGGTAACTGTCTAACTAACATGCTGTGAGGATTAAATGAGGTAATGTATGACATTATGATAACCCTTAGCATAGTATCTAACATAGCAAACACTTAGTAAATGTTAGTTCCCTTTTCCCTGTAAATCACATTTAGATCCATCCAGCCTAAGACTCACCAAGCTGAACTGTCTTAGTGGCAAGCAAGTCATGCTCTGAAGACCCCTTCCTCAGAGTTCTGCTTATCTTGATGCCGTACGAACCATGTTTCCACAGTGTCCCCAAAAGACCCTGATTAGGGGGAATCCTTGTAACAAGATAGCGGCGCTCAGGGTTTACCACCCCCAAGAAGGTCATTCACCAGACTTGCCTGACTAACGCAGGCCAGACTTTTTGCAGGCCTCGTAATTGCTAATGATTTTGCTAATCTTGAAGATGTGATCCACAATTGATTTACTCCCCACGGCATTTTCTCCAAAATATGTACCTAATAAATATTCATTGAATGAGTAAGCAGTAGTCATTTTTAAAGAAACGAAGTAATGAGGCTTTAATTATGATTGTATTTCACCACATAAAACTTGTTTACATATATTAAATAACAAGAATAAAAATATTTTTGAACCACGTAGGAAACTACAGAAAACAAAAGCCCTACAGGTTTCTGTATCTTCAGTTAAGGGTTGTCATCAGATACTGCGTCTCAGTAGTCCCTCTCTATCTCATTTCTTATAACTCTCTCCCTCTCTCTCTGTGCTCCAACTACACAGGTCCCCTTTTTTCTCAGACGAGCCCAGCACGTTCCCTCTGTATTGCCTTTCCCTACACCAGAAATGCTTCTTCCACCAGGTTCACTTAGTCAGCTCCTAGAGATCAAGGATCAAGTGTCATTGTTTCAGTTAGCCCTTAAATTTCAACAGCAACCCCCAAACCACTGCTTCCCCACCCTCAGTATCCTTTTTCCTTTTCTCTATAGCATTTAATCATCGTCTGATATTCTAACTAGTCTTTTACTTACTTGTTTACTGTCTGACTCTCCCTAATGGTGAGCTCTGTGAGAGCAGAGATTTTGTCTGTTTTGTTTACCGCTTTATCCACAGAGCCTGGAATAGTGGCTGGCACAAGGTGGCCATTCAGTGAAGATTGGTCGAATGAATGAATGAAATGAGAGTTAATGAAGTTATATATAGGATTGAGATGATCTAAGCCAGTGCTTTTAAAACTTGAATGTGCATGTGAGTCACCTGGGGATCTTGCTGAAATGCAGATGCTGATTCAGTAGGTCTGA